ACTTTTGTTTAGGATTTCTTAGAGAAAACAGCACACTGACCTTCCTTTTCTTGCTAATCTGAGTAGCCATATTTCTGGGGTTTCGACGGCCACAAGATCTTGAGCAAGCGATGTCTGCGTTCTACGTGCAAAACCTAAGTAGGGTTTGGATGAGAGGCGTTATTATATATATGTAGTTGGATAATAAATAACAGTGGAGAGAATGAGTAACCCATATAGTTTGGGCTCAATGCCCATTACTCCAAACCTCATCATACAACTGGGTTGCTTTTGAAAAGAATGGGTTGGCCCTTTATGAAGAACAAGCCAGAGCTCCTGCATTATACACAGTAAAATATATATATATTATTTTCCCCTAGAAGAAAATAGAATTTATTTGGCCCAAAGAAAATAGAATTTATTTTTTCAACAATTTTTTTTTTTTTTTTTTGCAAATGTTAGTAATATCTTATATTTATCTATCAATTTTAAAAACATATACTTATCTCTCTCTTAATTTATCATACATTTTGATCAAACTCTTTAATCAAATTAAGTATCTTAATTTTAATTAACTTTATTAATCTAATTTTAGGATTTACTTAAACAAATTAAATCTAGACATTTTTGTAATTACTCAAAGTCTAAGAAACTATTTGTTAGGATAACATGTATAAACTTTTATATTTTGTTTTGGTGAATTTTATGGTAGTTCATTAATGTAGGGTATTGTATGGTAATAGCATAGGATGATAATGATAAAGTTATATCATATTTGGAAAGATTATATATTGATGTATGATAATAATAACTGTTTTGTTTAGATTGATAGGATAATATGATTGTATACTTAATCAAATTATCAAATTGTTTCTGTCTTATTATATGTAATAATAAATAAAAAAAATATTTATTTAACTTGTAATTCAGTAATTTATTTTACTATTTAAACTATAAGTTTAATGAATTTTTTAAAAAAATAGCCAAAAAATTTTACTACAAAGAATAAAAATTTAATTTTTTATAGTTAATATAAAAAATTATTTTAAAATTAGAATTTTTTATTTATAATTATAAATTAAAAAAGAAAATAAAAATTATATATTGCATAATATTTATTACTATCATTTTTATAATTTAAATAAAGTAAATAAATAATTTTTAGTAAGAATAATTTTTAGTTTTGATAATTTTTAAATAATTAAATAATAATATATATTCAATTAACTTATCTGTTTGAACCACTCTTATTAATATGTACCTCATCAATATTTTTATTAAAAAAAATGCATAGTAACATAAATATAAAAACTTTGAGAATATAATACTTGTTAAATCACTCTAATTATAAATTCAATATAAATTAATCACTACAAAATAATAACGTAGTTTCATATTAAGCATCCACTTTCTTAATTGTATTAAACATCCAACATAGTTTTTCCAAATTTCCTAAATCCATACTAGAATCTTGCATTTCGGTAACAGTAGCCCCCGTATTTAATTATCTGAAAATGCAAAGAAATTAAAAAATCAAAGAATACAAATTAACAAGTTTTG